CAACAAAGAGAGAAAAGAAGGGGAGAGAAGAAAAGGGTTAGTGAACCGTGAAGCAGAGGAAATGACTTTAAATGGTATTAGGAAATTTTGACCTGCAAGAAACTTTCATGTTTAAAAACCCCAGTCCAATGAACGAAGGAAGACAGAAAGGCACCACAGAATCCAAGTCCGCCTAGGAGAAAAAGAACCTTCTGAAAGCTTCTGCCTCCCACCAAAAAGATGCTGAGAAAAAAAAAGTAGAAAGAACAAGGAGTAGGCACGAGTAGGAAGTGGGGCAGGAATGCTTTCCTAATTTTTGAACAGGTTGTTTAAAATAACACACATGTAAACTTTTCCAAAAGTAAAATGTAGTTGAAAAGTGCGGCTGTGGAATAAGGAACTGGAGAGGGACTAACAGGCCCAGCATCTTATCTGCTGTAGACCAGGAGTGGCACAGCTGCCTAGCATCGAGAAGCTGGGCTAGATTCCCCAGTATCACAAAAATAAATCTGGAGGTGGTCTTCACCAGCTTTCAAAGCAAGACTATAATGACAGTTTTGGTTTCTTAAAAAAAAAAAAGTTATGTTAGGTGACTATGTTTTTGTTTTAATCCCAGGTGTGGGATAAGAGGCTGCTTCACAGCAGGTGATTATGATTTGCCTCACGCACTAGCAGGGCTGTGATTTTTTTGCCAGCTGCAGAGAGTTTAATTCTGGGGACTCTGGAGATGGTATAAATGAGAACATCCCTAGAGAGCCTGGGGCAGCTGCTGCTCCTGGTTGCTGTTTGTTAAGTAGTTGTGAGCAAAGAAATGAGAGAAGAGACACTGGAGACAGCCTGGTGATGAAGACTGGATTTGCCCAACGAACTTTCTAATCAGCAGAAAGTTGTCTAAGGAGGTCTAACCTTCCCCTCGAACTCTTTCTCTCCTACCTAGTATTTGGGTTTTGGAAGGGATTGGAATGGAAAGAGGGTTGGAAGGGTGGTAAATAACAGAACCCAATAAAGTAGCCCCCTTCCCAAAATACACCACCACAGGACAGCTAGAAAAGTTCAGAATTCATACTAGCAAAAGCACTCCCACCTCCAACATAGCGGGTGGAACTTAACAAAGAATTTTTTCACAGCCATTTCTCAAATAAGAAAAAGAAGGCAGTCGGGCGGTGGTGGCGCACGCCTTTAATCCCAGCACTTGGGAGGCAGAGGCAGGCGGATTTCTGAGTTCAAGAGTTCGAGGCTAGCCTGGTCTACAGAGTTCCAGGACAGCCAGGGCTACACAGAAAAACCCTATCTCGAAAAAACCAAAAAAAAAAAAAAAAAGAAAAAGAAGGCAACAGATCTCATTCATTTGAAAAAAAAAAAAAAAGCCTCCAGAGGGCAATACAGAACTATAAACAAAAAGAAACAAAAACAAAGGTTCCCTAAACACACAAAGAGAAACAAAACCCTCTAAATAACATCTCTTACAAGAAAAGATACAGTGTACCCACCGCAAGACCTCAATACTTGTTACAAGTAGCAGGTTGTGCCCTCCTGTGATCCCAGCTGTGGAGGATTCAGAGTTTAAACCAGCTTAGGCTACTTAAGAAAACTGTTTCCAAAATGGGGAAAATCACAAACAATAAACTAGATACTTTCCCCTTTTGAAACAAAGTCTTGTGTGTCCAGCTGACCTGTCACTCACTTCTGCACCTCCACCCTCACCCTCAGTGCTGGATTACAAGCATGCACCACGTTTGTGCAGAGGGTCGAACCCAGGGCTTCATGCCTGTAAACAAGCACTCCAGCCACTGAGCTGCAAGGTGTTTGAGATGACACACATGCTTAACTTGATTTCAGCATCACACATATATACATACACATTACATGGCAAACTATAAATGTGTGTAATTTTTATTTAATAACTTTATTTTTTTTTTAAAGGATAGACTGGGGGGTTAGTTGCACAGTGCTTTCCTAGTATATACAAAGTCTTGAGTTCCATTTTCTGCACCATAAAACTAACTCTCACCTGCCCCCACCCAGAAGAAATGAAGAAAATAATTCAAGAAGACTCCCCAGAACTAAAGATAGTTTGGAGGCTGGAGAGATGGCCCATCAGTTAAGAACACAGGCTGCACTTCCAGAGGACCTAGGTTATATTCCAAGCACCCACATGGAGGCTTATAACCTCCAGTTCCAGGGCCTATGATACACTCTTCTGGTCTCTGAGACTACTGGGTGTACATGGTACATAGACATATATACAAGCAAAACACCCATACGCATAAAATAAAAAAATAGAGGAAAAAATTTAAGAGAGTTTGGTGTATGGACTTGCAAGTGACCTATATCAACTCCTAAGAGTCAGGACAGACAAAAGATTCTAACAGTCCCCCTGGGGGCAGTTATAGGTATGGATCAAGGATCAGGACTCTTAGCAATGGAACAATGCCTCCGGATGTCTTAGAAACAAAGAGACGTCATCACAGCCTCAAAAATTATGAGGGTTGTTTTTCCTCAGAATTCAACTTTTCATCCTTTCTTAAGCTGACAGATGACCTTTACCAATGAAGGGGTAAGACAGAACATGGCGGTCGCTCCCCTCTGTGAAAGAAAAGCTGGGAGAGCCTGATGCAATGCTAAGGACCCTCTTTAGACAACAATGTCAAGCCTGCCACAAGGGCAGCAGGCGGGCCAGACAGAAGTAGGTCAGTGGCCCCGGGGGATGAGGTAAGGTGTGTGTGAGGATCAACCACTGTGCTTGGCTACAGTGTGAGAGAAAAAGGACCCAGAGAAGCAAAGTGGGTCAGCTTTGAGCACCCATCCGGTTTCCATGGGCCCAAAATCACACAGAATACAATGACTGTGAAGATTGTATAGAAACAGGTATGTCTATTAGGAGAGCAGAAATTGAGTTAAGAGCCAAGGTAAGAACTGGGACTGGGGTGGGGGCAGGGCAGCAATAAAAGTATATAGAAGAAAACACCAGCCAAGTGTACCCGAGTACTGACGCTCACTTGTGGGCTGAGCCACCCAGGAAACTGGAACAGGAAGATGGCTTAAGGCCAGGAGTTTGAGCCAACCTGGGCAAAACAGTAAGACCGGGTCCCAAAATAAGAATACAAATAAAAAGTGTCTGGACTCGGTAGCACAGGCCTATAATACCAGCTTCCCGTTCAGGAGTCTGAAACAGAAGGATCGTACATTTGAGGCTAACCTGAGCTACAGAGGACATTCAAGACCAGTGTGGCTTAGTGAGACCCTGTCTCAAAACAAAAGAGACAAAGGGAGTTGGGAATGGGGTTTGGTGGGAGAGCATTTGTCTAACATACCCAAGGTCCTGAATTCAATCTTCAGTACCCCAAAAAGAAAAACGGAAAAAGCAGAGGAGCAGGGAGCAGGTTACTGAACAAGTAGATCGCTGCTGGGGGGCACCATGGAATAAGGAGCCCCAAGATTCTTCATGTAACAGTCCTTGCACCTGGGCAGTGGTGGCAAACACCTTTAAATCACATCAAAGGCAGGTGGATCTCTGAGTTCAGGGCCAGCCTAGTGTACACAGTGTGTTCCAGAACACCCACGTCTACACAGAGAAACTGTCTTGAAAAACAAACAAACAGAAATCTTGCAGTAAAAATAAGGCAAATGTATTTTAGAGCACTGAGATCAGTGGCTCACCAGTCTAGTTTTATTAAGCACCGGTCAGGTACATTTTGCATATTGACGCTGGCCCTCAGGAGCCAGCAAGAGAGCTGCTGCTGGAGAATCCCGAAAGCAGGCACATCTATTTTCCCTAATGCCTACACACCAACAATTTTAGCAGGGATTTTGCGAATCTTTGGGGAGGGCTCTGTATCTCCATGGAAACCCAAATAATCATGAACTCCGGGCATTCCTAACTAGGCAAACGCAGCACGAAGCAAGCACACTAAAGTGCTGTCAACGGTTTTCATAGGGCACACACGGATAGCAGGTAACCTCGTCAAACCGCGGTGGGAAAAGGAAAAGCCGGTTTATTCGTCCCAATAAAATAAACCCCACAGTTACCAAGGGCTCAGTTTGCATCCTGGTAATACCTGGGAGACATGCTCCCCGCCCCCACCACCTTCTGCCACTCTAATTTCTAACCACATCACAGAAGCATCAGGATGGTCGTCACAAGCGACCGGATGACAGACGGCAGCCCAGCCATGCAGGAACTGAGAACAGGCAAACATGGTAACCAAGAGCAAAGCAATCCGACCCTTTCAGACTCTGACCATGGATTCCCAAGCTCCCATTGCTTTGTTTACAAAACTGAGATTTAAAAAAAAAAACAAAACAAAGGCCCCATCGTGTGACTTTGAAGGTCGAGTGAGAAAATATATTCCTAGACCAGTCACTGAGAAATAACTTTTTCATCACTAGATTCTCAGAAGATCTCAAAAAGGTGCCTGGCAACCATAGTGATCTCCAGTTGTGCTGAAGCTCGGCCCTGAGTCCAGGGAAACTCCAGGGCTCTCTACTGACAGTCCCACTCCGCAACGGCGGGAAAAGTGGCTCACAGCCTAACCAGGGTGTGCGGCTGGACCAGCGTATACAAAGAGAGTTGGTCCACAAACACACACACCATTTTCCAAAGACAGCGAGGCCAGGCCTTCAAGGCGTTCACACAGACAACCATGACCCCATTATGACAGCTCGGGTGTGCTTAACTTCAGTCGGTCATCTTCGGAATGAAAAGCTCCTCTCAACAAGAGGGATGCATAGAGACAAATAGATCCGCCATCTGGTGGATCGCGGGCTCACTGAGCCGGCCACTGCCTGCTACCAACGACCCCAGCCAGGGGGCACTTGGAGGTCATAAAGGGCTCCACCAAGCGTCACCAAATTAGGGAAATCCGGGGTGGGAAGGCGGAGATGCGGCCAGCCCCTTCCCCGCTTAGTTCAGCAAGCGGATTCTGTCAACCCCAAGCAAACCAAACCAAAACAGGAAGCGCCTGCCCAGAGAGCCGAGCAACGCGCAGCTCGGTCTTCCGAGCGACCCGCCGTGCCCGTACCTGGTAGCACCGCGTCCTGCTCCTCCGCGTCCCGCAGCTCCGCGCCGCGCTCCCCCACCGGCTGCTCCTCCTCCCGCGCGGAGGACGCCGAGGGCTCCCCTAACGCGCCCCTGGGCGCCGGACTGGGTGAGGCCGAGCTGTCCGAGGGGCTGTCCGGGCCCCAGGCGTCCCAGAGCCAGGGCGCGTGCGCCTGCTCCAGCAGCCGGCGGCCCAGGCGGTAGCGCAGCAGCTCGCGGTAGCACGGCGCGTATTCGTCCCAGCGCGGCTCCCGGTAGCGCTTCATATACTCGCTCTTCACCCCGCTGCCCGGGGACATGGTGCCGCGCGCTGCCGACTGCCTGCTCCGCGCTGCCGCCTACGGATCCGACCCGACTCAGAGGCGCGGCCCGCCGCGCGGTTCAAACCCGGAGCCCCGCCCGGACCGGAGGGCGGAGGCTGGGGCAAGGAGGGGCGGAGAGGGGGCGGGTCTGTGACGGGTGTTTCTGGGAGAGGGCGGAGTCCTGGCGGGGGCGGAGTCCCGGGCCGGGAAGGCCCCCGGTTCAGGTAATAGCGGGGGCGGGGTTGCAGGAGGGATTCCAGGCGACACGACCTAGCTAGGTGGAATGGTCCCCGTGGGTGGTCACCTGGGGTCTGCTCCACTCGGTAGAGCTGGAGACTACGGGACTCAAGGTGACGGGACAGGGGATCTTAGGTCCCCAGGCACCCTCCTGGGCGAGGAGTCGGGGACTCTGGGAGCAGCGGCCTTACCTGCTGCGTGTTCTATCCTCCGCTCTCCGGAGGTCAGCAGAGATCGTGGCGCAGCAGCAGCACCGCGAATAGCGTTTGCCCTAGCGCGTCCTCCACCAAGATGTCGCCGATGGAGCGGCGGCTTCGCGGTCCTACGGCAGCCGGAGGCGAAGGCGCCGCCCCAGCCTGAAGCCTGCACCTCCCCGCGCACCCGCCGGGCCCCTCCCGCTCCTGCGCCCGCGCCTGGGGCGCCGCTGTGAACCCCTCGCTCGCTCGCCCACTCGCTCCTGGGGGCCTCCAGAGCAGGCTTCAGCTGTAGGTGCAACCTGCGCCTGCGAGCAACCAGCACCTAGACCAGGGCCAAATCATATGTCCAAATTCCTTCCTCTCTGTTCACAATGCCGGAGTACTGAGACATTAGTGATTTTTATTGTCGTTATTTTAATACATTCTCCTCCTCTGCCTCCTTTTTGAGACAAATCTCATGTTGCCAAAGGAGGCCTAGAACTCATTCCGGAGCCCAAGCTGGTCTTGAACTCCGGATCCTCCTCCTTCAACCTCACAAGTGCGAGAATTAACAGGTGTGAGCCGCCTCACCTGCTCTTGCCCTGTGTTACCTACAGGCCAACTTTTGTAAAAATAAATAAATAAATAAATAAATACATACCCAGGGCTTGCTCAAGGAAGAGGTGCAAATGTTTGCCTTGAACTCTAATATACAATGTAACAAGGTTGTTACTGTTGACCCTGCTCTACAGACTCCTAGACTTGACTCAATAGCTACAGGAAGATTTGAAAGGAAAGACATTCAGGAGGATAACATAGAAAGAAAGGGAGGGGGAAGGAATGTCTGTGTGTGTGTGTGTGTGTGTGTGAGAGAGAGAGAGAGAGA